GTCCTGCTAACATTGTGGGAACATTAGCAAGATAAGCTTGGCAACTCTATTCAAATGTGAAAAAATGTCATACTAAGCTTGTACCAAGGTCAAATTTCCGATTGGGAGTTCGCCAGGTGAGTCGATGCGTTAAGTTCGCCTTCAATTTCGAGTGATACTATGACACACTCCGGTGGTCGAATAGTTGCATCGCCTAATGTACGCTGATTATGCTGTATGGTTGCGTTTATTTTTATTATCATTATTCCTCAAAAGGACTATATAATTTCATTTTCAGGACACATCGTATTAACATCCTTTCAAAGATGAAGAGTACAAATTAAAAACCTGGTAAGTACCATAAAGCGTTGATAAAATGTTAGGCAGCAGATTGCAGTGCATAACACTGTAAGGTATAATTCAATGTAAATGATCCTAAAATCTGCAGCGTTGTGTTATTTTATAGGTAATATTACTGAATTTTGGTTTTTATTTCAGGACAAAAATTGCCAGTGTCAGGAGACTCGTTTTTCATTAAAGAAGAGGAGACTGTTGCAGGTGGTTTCACGATAACGGAATAGTTTTGTCTCCGTAACAGACAGCACATTTTGTGGTCATATTTTTAGTAGTAATGAAAATCACTCGAATTTTTTTGCATTAATCTACACAGGATTACGTGTTACAACGCTTTTCACAGATTTATCGCTCCACTTTTCAATTTTAATATATAAATGGCCGAAAAAGTGCTGTCTCTTAAGCTGACTTTTCACCGTGTAACAGACAGCACATTTTCGGAATTTATATAAGTAGAGCAATAAATCATTAGAAAGCGTTATAATACTTAACCCTTTGATGATTAATGCGAAAGAATTCGAGTGATTATCATTTCTACTAAAAATATGACCAAAAATGTGTTGTCTGTTACGGCGACAAAACTCTTCCAGTTATCGTGAAACCACCCTTGCACACTCTTAGCAACACTCGGTGGAACTTCCTAGGTTTCGAATTTTCACTCTTCAATTAATGACGAAATAAATTTTGTCGCATTACATTACAGTCGGTCCGCTCCGACGGTGGCGTGTGGCGGGTTGCCTGTGCGGCGCGGCGCTCTCTTCATAAAGCTCTCCAATTTATCCGCGCTTGCACTAAGTGCGACTCGAACGATATAATCTGTAAAAATAACGAGGCTGACACCCCCGACCCTTCGCCCCACACCTCTCCCTCATTTAATCTCTCTTCTTCCTTCGCTCCTGCATTGCGGGTTGCCTCTTCGCCGGGGAGAACTCGGTGGTGCTCATTACGGGCGGGCTCTCGCACCGTCCGACTACCGGGCCCCGCTTAACCCCAATCGGCGAAATCGCGCTGAGGTTTAGTCGGGATTTGCCGTCTTCAACCTTGTCAGTTTTGACGGAGCTGAGAATGGTTCCCGGTCATAAACCACGGCGGATTACCCCCAAGATTTACTTGTTAAGTGCACTGGTTGCGATTCAGCAAGTGTCGAGGATCAGTTCATCGGTGTCGAAACCTCGAAAAAGAACCGCGTTCATATCGAGTGAGCTAAGGCACAATTCGATTTTGCTTCGGTCAGTGGGTCAAACGGAAATCCACGATATACGTAAGGGTCAAGGTTACTTCATCCTCCCTTCCTCTCAAAAACTGACCATTCCTTATTTCTCAAACCTCATCATGCTTGACTCGGAGACAAAATGTTCGCAATGAGATTTCTCTTTTTGAGCTTGACAGAAAATTGAGCAACTGGGCAAGGAAAAAACTTGAGATATTGCGAACGGATAAGAGAGACACAACGCAGAAGCCCAAAGTACTTAACGATACAATACACGAAATACACAACAAATGGGTTTAAAATGCTAAATGTTTTTAGCCTTGTAAACACACATGTCGTATATCTCTTGTATTTTTTCGATATCGCGAAAGATAAAAGTTTTTTTTTTTTTTTTCATTTAAAAATCAACTAGGGGCTTATGAGGCTGCTTCGCAGCCCCTTATTTTTCATGTACACCATTCCCTTTCACATGTCTTTTTTTTATTTATTTATTTTCATTTAATTTTCTGGTTTGTCTTTGAATTGGTCCTAATTTTTTATTTGAAGTAATAAGCATACCAAATTTTTTCAAAAAATTGTAAGTTGATTTTGTAAACTTAAAAAAAAACGCGGGAAAAGAAAAATGTAAGTTGATGGCAGTTGAGTGTTGGAGGTAACCTCATTTAATGATGATTGTTGAATGAAAACAGCTGATAAAAAGACGGCCAATAGTAAAGTAAGATGCGTAGCAACAAAACTTTTTCCGAAAAACAAAAAAAAAACCCCTACTTCCCCCTCATCCAATTTATGAGTTTTTAGGGATTTAAAAATCGGGGACAAACCCCAGAAAATAATTTATAATTTTCCCGAAGCATTGAGTACAACACCTTTCAAATGAACTAACGCCCCTTGCAATTAGTACAGAGGTTAATTCACAATTTCATTCTATTTTTCAATTATATATTAGGATTTGAGTGAGAAGCGATGGAATCTAGATTTTTAAGACGAAAAATGTTTCAGAAAGCTGTCTCATTTTCAAAACCAATCCAGCCGATCATTTTTCTTCGATCTAGAGCAATTGTGAAGGAAACGTGAAAAAAGACCTCTACACTCCTTTACCATGATTGAGTATAATTTTCCCATGACACTTAATCTGAAGGAACTTTTTACCCTCGGACCCCCATGAAAAGCATTTGACGGTAGGACCCCCCTGCCCACACCGAAAAAAATGATGCTGACTTAACATTCTGGATGTAAAAAAGGTTACGACAACTCAAAAACCGCTAAATTAAACGCCACAGCAGTTAATATAGCAATGTCAAGATGTGAAGCTAACTGTTATAGCGGTTAACTCAGCGTTTTGTGAGTTGTCGCACACTTTTTTACATCCGAAATGTTAAGTAAGCATTCTTAGTTTTCGGTGCATGAACACTTTTTTGCTGAAAATCTCAAATGAGTTTTGCAAATTTTGATGAAGAAACACATTTTGCGGTGTTTTAATTGTTACCCTATTTCGTAGCCCGTTGTAATAAGAGGGAGGCGAGAGGCTTTCCCGAAAAGAACAGCGGGCAGGTGCGTTACGTCTTGGGCCGGCGGGTGATTTGCCTGCAATTAAATTTAATTAAAGGGAGGCAAACAGTTTAGCGTGTTGATCCGCCCCCGCTCGGATCCCGAAGGAGAAGCGGGAGCGCGCCCGGCAGGGTCCTAGGATCCCGGGATCCGGAGACTCGACAAACAAGAAACTAATAAACTTGTCCCAGACGGCAAACAAAACGCCGCTAGCCCGGAAAATCTCCTCATTCCTCGATTATGAATATCCGACCCACGGACCTCAACTCGCCCCTTCTCGGCTCCCGCTTTCATTTCCACCCCCTAAAAATGGGTCACATGTCCTAAACAGCAAGGAAAACTAACCGATATTTGGTGTTAACTAAGGGCTTACGTTACGCCCCCTGACCGCTTCGCGGTTCGACCCTCTCATGCGCTTCGCGTCTCAAACGTTATGCGCTAAGTCTTATTTTCATGAATTTTATATATAGATCCGTTTGACAGGAGGTGAAATGTCGCATCTTCAATTGGACGTATATCTATCAAACGGAACTAAGCGCCAATTTGAGTTCCTTTTGAGGAATTTAGTATCCCGGATAGCGCGTTCTGTCAAACGGACCTAAGCGACATGGAAAAGCATTGCGAGTATAGGACGGAATAAGCTGGACGCTCGATTCCGCCGCCAATCCAAGTCCCCCTCTACCTTCCTCACCCTATGGCGCTTAGGTCCGTTTGATAGAAATACGTCCAATTCAGCAAACGAAACTGTGAGTCAACTGAGTGTGGCAGTTGTGGCTTTTATGAGCCGTGGGCACGGATCTAGAGCGTTGTGGACAGGGCTCATGAGTTAGTCGGCCGCGAAGAAACGCGGCGGCGGTTTCGTCACTGGCGCTTTACATTTCCCATTCATTCTTGGATCGGGCACTATCGAGCACACCCCATCTTTTTCCCTGCACATAGTTCTGTTTGACAGAAATACGTCAATTTGTTGGCTTGATTGAAATTGCGGAGGAGTGGAGAGCCTGAATTGGGACTCTTTTGCGGTCTCTATGATTGAGTCTTAGTAGATGACTTGGATACAAATTTTTACAGAGCAGCCCGAGACAATAGTAACGGCAGAAAAACAAGGGGAAAACGGGAAACAGTAAGGTTCAAATAAACAATTTTTAAAAAAAAGAAAAACCCAGACGTTTCGACTCAAAACTGAGTAATTTTCGGTCAGAAATACAATAAAAATGCAAAAAAGATCGATGAAAAACTGAGCCATACATGGTGATGGCCGGGGCCTGGGTTTTTTTATCATTTTTCTCAGATCCCGGCCAACAATATGTAAGGCTCAGGTTTTCATCGTTCTTTTTCAAAATTGTATTGCATTTCCGACTGAAAATGACTCACTTTTGAGTCGAAGCGTCTCGGTTTTTTTTTAAATTGTGTATTTTAGCCTTGTCTCCCGTTTTTCTCCCTTGTTTGTCCACTGGTTGATGAATTAGCGAGCATTCGGATGACTTAGTGAGCATGCGGATGACTTAGCAAGCATGCGGATGACTCAGCGAGCATTCGGGTGACTTAGTGAGCATGCGGATGACTCAGCGAGCATGCAGATGACTTAGTGAGCATGCGGATGAATTAGCGAGCATGCAGATGACTTAGTGAGCATGCGGATGACTCAGCGAGCATTCGGATGACTTAGTGAGCATGCAGATGACTCAGCGAGCATGCAGATGACTTAGTGAGCATGCGGATGAATTAGCGAGCATGCAGATGACTTAGTGAGCATGCGGATGACTTAGCGAGCATGCGGATGACTTAGCGAGCATGCGGTTGACTCAGCGAGCATTCGGTTGTCTTCGCGAGCATGCGGATGACTTAGCGAGCATGCGGATGACTTAGCGAGCATGCGGATGACTTAGCGAGCATGCGGGTGACTTACCGAGCATGCGGATGACATGGTTCTGACTGCGGACGTTCTTCCTCTCGGCGGAGACGCTGGTGACGGAGGAGCGTTTGAGCATCTTGGAGCCGCGGAGCTTGACGCCGATGAGGATGTAGAGCACCGTGATGAGGGTCATCGGGGTGATGAAGAAGAGACACGTCGAGATCTCGAAGGCGTGCTTCATGAGCACCCACTTGATCGTGCACGAGGCCGCGTACTCCCCGGAGTTGGTCTCGTTCCGCGATTCGTAAACGATCCCGAACTGGATCGCCTGCAACCACAACACTCACATAAACCACTCATTTTTATTTCAAAATCAGTGAACATTGTAAAGCAATGTGTGGAGGTAGTAGCACTATATATATATGAGTATGGGTTGGTAGCCACGGTAGCCATGGGTTGGGAGTATGGGTTGGTATGAGTAAGACTGATCTAATAGCTTCTTATCACTTGTTACCTAGTTTGAAATTTAAAGAATGGCAACGGCCTTTGTGATATTGATTTTGTCGTTACCCTGACGATGAGGCGTCCGCTTCGAAAAGCTTCGGTATAAATAAAGTTATTAATAAAATGTAAGTGTTTTTTGAAAACATTTTTTGCATTATTTCTAGCACTCGGCTACCAGCCCATACTCACATTTTTATTTATTTCTCCTTTGAATACATACGTTTCCCACTCACATACTATTAAAAAATCAAATTTTATAATAATATTTTTGAACTTCATCAGAGAAAAAAGTGACTTAATTCGAGTAGAAATATGCTCATATTTACCGCCGAGAAGATTTCCTTATGAATCACGGAAGAAAATAATGCCTTTTTCAAGAAGAATAGATGCTTTTATAAAAAGAAAAGCCACTTACATCAAGCAGAAATCCTTCCCTTATTCAGCTACTTTATTCTTGATTCAAACAATATAGAATATTCTGGACGGCATCCTCAGGAAGGTTTCTGCCTAAATTGAGTCACTCTTTTCTTCAATGAAAATCAAATATTATGCTAAACATTATTCAATTCGGATACTAGGAATTAAGGAGTTTTTGGAATTCTGTTTTCTTTTCGTGCCGTAGTATCTAAATTTATTTTGCGAGAAAAGCTCCCTACTCTTGAAGGATGCCTGTCATTTTTAATATGTTGGAGCGCCTTCAATTTCGTATGATACTGTGCAACACCTCTGTTGCTAAATAGTTGCTAAAGGCGCCGTGGCACGCTGTGGCCGGCTAGCGCCTTCAAACCTAAGGAGATACTTCAAGCGTTGCGCAATGCGTGAAGTATCCCTTTAAGTTTGTAGACGCCAGTTTCGCGCTGGCAGCACGCCGCTCCGCTGTGTCAGGCTCTAATATTTGAACTCGCGGAGTAAGCGTTTTCATGATTTGGGAATGTTTGCACACTCTGCATAGATTATTCTCATTTAAATTGATGAAAAAAAATTATATTAAAGGAAAATATAATTTGTGTTTTGTAAATATTAAGGTGGTTCTGTGTCAAATTTGATGATTTCCAAAGTACTTTAATTTTTTCTTTTATATTTTGTGCTGTTATTTTGCTGCAATGTGCTTTGTGTGCACGTGCAACCAAATGCTCAAAATTGCTTGTATTTGATTAAAAAAGATTGATGTACAAATGGGGTAAAACCAAAGATTGCGTGCTTCTTGGTTTTTTTCCTCTTTTATTCATTTTTGTATAGTTCCTGTCAACACAATTACTGCTCGTTCAGATCAATATTGATGACATCGCTTGGAAAAAGTTTTACAACTATTTGCCGCGTTTTAAGAATATAAATGTTTTTAAAATGAAGTATTGTTTTCATTTAAAGAAGGAGTCTAAATAAGGTATATTTTGTATCAAATATTTTAGTAATAGAAATAAAACAAAATATTCATGAATGACAATTTGAAAAGATGAATCTAAAAAAGAAAGTAACATTTCATCTAAAATATGAGTTACCATAACAACACCTACTTCTGTCTCAATTTTCTCATTTCAATATTGTCAACATAATTTTACATACGGCGAACCACGTCACTGTTGCCTATTTCACCTGTGGACATAAACTACTGGACAAAATAGGTGCGCGGACATGAAATCGTTGACGAAATGTCCTGAAACCGCTCCAACGTACACAAGTTTTTCCGCTATGATACGTTGTTTCTAAAAAGTATAAGATGGCGTTTACGGCGTTTTAGCGTTGCATGGCAGAAAAGAGGGGTACCTATGAGGGCTGTTTCTGGGTCCATCCTGAATATCCGTAACTCTATGATTTGCTCATTGAAGGTCTATATTTAACAGAATGCATTAGGAATAGTAATTTTGGGTCTCTTTTTGGGTCTTATACTGGCCTAAATATGATTCTAACGGCCGATTTTGGCGTAAAACAGCGGAATTTGTAGGTTTGCAGTCGAACGCCGTAGACCCGCATTATTTCCCTGAGAAGTGAGGAGGGGTGAACCAATCAGCAAGGAGCTTGCATAGAGTGACTTATGCACCCAGAGGTCACTCTCGTGGGGAAGATTAGGACATACATATTTGAAAAGCTCCAGGAAAACTTTCAAGAGTGGATATTAGAGTTTCGGATTTTTGGTATCATCTGCACATCAACAGCTTTCGTTCGCAACAAAAATCAAGGAAATCGGCCCGGTGGTTTCTCAGAATTGAACGTATTTATGCCCAAAGGAACTATGGGCAGGGTCGAACTAGCGTGCGATGTATCTCGTCGATTAAGTAACGAAATCGAAGTATTTTACATTTTTGCCCTATAAAAGAACGATAGTCCCTGCGCATGAGTCTAAAAAAGCACTATAAACAAATAGAATTGGCAAGATTCAGAAAAATGAAAACAGGATTTTTTCTGGAAAAACACCCTTGTGTTCGATACAGAAATCGATAACTGCACCAAATGCAAGTTTTTTTTCTCCGAAAAAATCCTGTCCTCTATTTAGCTGAACATTCAAAATCTGCGATCTATCGATGCGATAAATTGCACTATCATTCAACCACGCCAGAAACCGCGACGTAGCACATAAAAAAAAAACCATTTGATTCCGAATTAATTTCAAGTCGTAGCTACCGTACAATAGTGTGCGATATTCGCTGGAATAAACAAATCCCTGCTTTTGCAGGGACATTATTATGTTTTTCATCGAACTAGGACGGATTATGAGGTGAATTCCGTAATGCGACAAAATGAAAAATCACGGATGTCGGCCTGAATGACCTCGATCTTGTTTTCAAATTGATTTTACTCGAAAGCGCATTTCCCATGGAAAATGCGGAGCCCGCATTAGACAAAATTACAGTCAGAATTCAATTAAATGCGCAGAGTAAAGAGCTGAAAGTTCCCAGAATCGCGTTCCCGTCACACCGATTCGAAAAAGGAGGATGAGAATAACGCAATAAACCTTGAGCAGGACCGAATGTCAACAGGTTTTAATAGAATTCTCCGGGACTCTATTTGATCATGCCTCCTGGGAACAGTCAGTTAAATAATTTTTTGCAATTTGTGTGAAATCAAAGCACCGATTTCAATGAGAGCGAAACACTCATAAATTGAAAAATCTTTTAGGTGTGAACACAGAGGAGAAAAGAATAAAATGGACGTATTTATGGTAAAAGGAGCTACGTGTATAGAATTCGCGTGAGACATAATAGTTCCTTTTAGCATAAATACGTCCAAATGTTGTTGTGCTACGAAAAAAAACGCCGTATGCGCATCCCAACGTTGCCAAATTCCTACTCGATTTAATATTCATCGTCAAGAAGTATTATCCATGTTTCCAATTTAAATTTTCAGAAAAGTTACAATAAACTTCGTGTGAGGTACCTTAAAAAAGAATTAATTGTTAGAGAGAATAGAAAATAGAAAAAAATTGTCTAAAATTTACAGGCATTTCAAAATAGCCGACGATTTGAAATTTCTGTAAATCATATTTTGCCCCTAGCCCCCCCCCTTCCTCCAATATTGGCGTGCTGCAAAATCACTTGACGTGTATGAGAAAACAATAGATACGGTCCTTCATGACAATTTTTAATGAAATTGAACGACTAAATTTTGAGATATGGCTGCACATAGATATAGGGTACGCCAGACGGACGGACTCAAATGTTTTAAATTCTGTACTGCATTATTTTGATCTCTCCTCTAAGGTATTAATGACCCAGATGTTAAAAGCACATTTAAATAAACGTATCTACCAACCAATCCATACATTTTTTTAAGTATCCATGGTTTTTCGACTCCAGGAACCTTGGTACGTCTATAACCAGTAAAGAAATCTCAATTCTGATTTTTTAACGATGACAAAACTTCCTCCGCCCGCAAGGAGAGGGATAAAGAAAAAATTCAGGGATGAAAGATCGAGTTCTCCAGAAATTTTGCATTTTACCAAACGATGGCAACGTTCGAATTTTCATGGAGAATTTTTCCTTAGAATGGCAGAATGACTTCAGCAGCGGGTCGAGGAGGAAACAATTCCAATATTTTGATCCGTCAGATGGTAAAGCTTTATACAGCGGCAAATATTTAGAGCGAAGCATTAAAGCTGAACAAAGACAGATAGAGGAAAGATAAAACGTCTTTAATGTCGATGAGTAAATCCGTCACAAGGTGTTAAAAGCGTTGATACACCTAATAAATCGCACGCCCGTCTGTTTCTACGAGTAAAGGCGCAAGTAAATTTACACGAGTGTGCGAGTTTCGTACGATGAGGATACTGCTGACGTTTAGTAGAAATATAAAAAGTTTGCTTATATTTTAAAACTCCAAAAACTTTTATTAGAAAAAGTATAATTTTTTTCCTTTGTATGAAATTTTAAAATTGCTGAAATTTTAGGAACAATTTTTAAAACTAGGAATAAAAATCTCGAAAATTGAAAATCAAGCAACGTCATTGCTTTTACTCTCAAACGATTCATGCCCAGTCATTCATTCTCTGCTGTATTTTTCTCCGAAATAGAAACCCCAGCCAACAAAGTTGTGAACGGAGAGGAGAATTTTCACGGAGTTTTAATTGCCCGCATTAATTCGCCTGAGGCAACACCCGATCCATTTTCTTCGAAGCCTCCCCGAAAATTAAACCGCCTCTAAATTATGAACAAATCTAAAGCGAGTTTGAAAAACTAGGCTTTTAATGTATTTAAAATATTAGCATTTCAAGTTGAGACTCTTCTGCGACTTTCACCTCTAATATTTCAGCGGCGCGCGTAGCAGTGGCGTAGCATGCTTCGCGATATATCGAGTGATCGGCCATTTAAACCTATGGAAAAGTATCGATAA